ACACTAAAGTTAGTTTTAGGGCAAACAATCGCAATTAATTATCTGAATGAGAAAAAAAAAATGTAAAAAAGAGGAGGTTGTGCCGAGTAAAGAGATACCAAACCTTAAATTTGTGTGCGCCGGTGAAATGGCGACAAACTTGCAAAAGATCTCCTCTGTTATAGTAAACTGATGACCTATAGGGGGCTTTTGAAGTGTCACCTATAAAAAATAGTACTGACCCTGTGTTTTTTTATATAGGCGACACTTCAAAAGCCCCCCTATAGGCCATCAGTTTACTATTACAGAGGAGGTCCTGTGCAAGAATTATTGCTCCGTCAGTCAAATCCTAGGATGAGGGAGTGGGGCCGAGCTATGCTGTCTGTGTCTTTGGATGCAAGCAGCGCGGCTCAGGGTCAAGCCGCCTGCACGTGTTTCCCCCGTAGCAAGAGACTTGCTAATGGAGCATTCGCAGAAGACGAGGAGCCAGGAGCACCGCCGGGGTCCTGAGAAGAGGAGGTTCAGGGCCGTTCTGTGCAATGCCATTGCACAGAGCTTGTACAGTGAAGGAAATGCGTATTTGCTCCCCTGCTGATTTTGAATGTTTGCCCACTCACAAAGAAATGATCAGTCTAAAAATCGAATGTTCGATGTATTGTAACACTGAGAGACAGAATAGCAACAAAAAATTCAGCAGAAATGCTTGTCTAACAAATGATGACTGATCTGCATGTTCATGAGGGAAATAAGTATTTGATCCCCTTCACAAAACATGACTTAGTACTTGGTGGCAAATCCCTTGTTGGCAATTACAGAGGTCAGACGTTTCCTGGAGTTGGCCACCAGGTTTGCACACATCTCAGGAGGGATTTTGGCCCACTCCTCTTGGCAGATCCTCTCCAAGTCATTAAGGTTTGGTGGCTGACGTTTGGCAACTCGAACTTTCAGTTCCCTCCACAATCGGATTAAGGTCTGGAGACTGGCTAAGCCACTCCAGGACCTTAAAGTGCTTCTTCTTGAGCCACTCCTTTGTTGCCTTGGCCATGTGTTTTGTCATGCTGGAACACCCATCCACGACCCATTTTCAATGCCCTGGCTGAGGGAAGAAGGTTCTCCCCCAAGATTTGATGGTACATTGCCCCGTCCATCATCCCTTTGATGCGGTGCAGTTGTCCTGTCCCCTTAGCAGAAAAACACTCCCAAAGCAGAATGTTTCCACCACCATGTTTGACAGTTGGGATGGTGTTCTTGGGGTCATAGGCAGCATTCCTCCTCCTCCAAACACGGCGAGTTGAGTTGATGCCAAAGAGCTTGATTTTGGTCTCATCTGACCACAACACTTCCAACCAGTCCTCCTCTGCTTCATTCAGATGTTCAGTGGCAAACTTCAGACGGGCCTGGACATGTGCTTTCTTGAGCAGAGGGACCTTGCAGGCACTGCAGGATTTCAATCCTTGTCGGCGTAGTGTGTTACCAATTGTATTCTTGGTGACTGTGGTCCCAGCTGCCTGGAGATCATTGACAAGATCCTCACCTGTAGTTCAGGGATGATTCCTCACTGTTCTCATGATCATTGACACTCCACGAGGTGAGATGGTGCACCAGACCTAGGGAGACTGACAGTTGTTTTGTGTTTCTTCCATTTGCGAATGATTGCACCAACTGTTGTCACCTTCTCACCAAGCTGCTTGGCGATAGTTTGGTAGCCCAGTCCAGCCTTGTGTAGGTCTACAATCTTGTCCCTGACATCCTTGGACAGCTCTTTGGTCTTTGCCATGGTGGAGAGTTTGGAATCTGATTGTTTGATTGCTCCTGTGGACAGGCGTCTTTTATACAGGTAACAAAATAAGATTAGCAGCACTCCCTTTAAGAGACGGCTTCTAATCTCAGCTTGTTACCTGTATGAAAGACACCTGGTAGCCAGAAATCCTGCTGAATGATAGGGGATCAAATATTTCCCTCATGAACATGCAAATCAGTCATTTGTTAGACATGCATTTCTGCTGAATTTTTTGTTGCTATTCTGTCTCTCAGTGTTACAATGCACTGAACATTCGATTTTTAGACCGATCATTTCTTTGTGAGTGGGCAAACATTCAAAATCAGCAGGGGATCAAATACGCATTTTCTTCACTGTAGGTATACATTTTTTATTTTTTTTGCTGAACTAAAGATCCTCTTTTTACAATCAAGTGATTGCAAAGAAATTTTCCTTTTTTTTTTTTTTTTTTTTTCTAAATAAGTTGCTGATCGCCGCCATTACTAGTATATAAAAAAAAAAAAGTCCAGTATCTATACTGCCATTTGTCAACACTATAACTTTCATGTAAACCAATTAATTTACACGTATTGGGATTTTTTTTTTAGCAAAGACACGGAGCAGAATACATTTTGGCCTAAATTTATGAAGAAATTAGAATTTTACAATTTTTTCATTCGATATGTTTTTATAGCAAAAAGTCAAAAATATGTTTTTTTTTGTTTAAAAATTGTCTGTATTTTTGTTTATAGCGCAAAAAATAAAAACTGCAGAGGTGATCAAATACCACTGAAAGAAAGCTCTATTTGTGGGAGAAACAGGATGTAAATTTAATTTGGGTGCAGAGTTGCATGACTGCGCAATTGTCAGTTAAAATAACACAGCACCGTATCGCAAAAAATGGCCTGGTCAGGAACCCCCTTTCTGACCAGGCCATTTTTTTTTTCGATACGGCGCTGTGTTACTTTAACTGACAATTGCGTGGTCATGCAACGCTGCACCCAAATTAAATTTACATCCTCTGGAGGGCAAGGGGTCAATAGCAAAAGTATATCAAAAATATTTTTTTTTTCTCAAAATTGTTTATAGCGCAAAAAATTAAAAAACGCACAGGTGATCAAATAGCACAGCAAGTAATCTCTATTTGTGTGCAGCGTTGCATGACCGCGCAATTGTGAGTTACAGTAATGCAGCACCGTGTCGCAAACAATGGCCTGGTCATGGGGGGGGGGGAATCCTCTGGAGGGCGAGGGGTTAAAGTGTTTTTTGGGGGTTTTTTTTTTCTTACAAATAACAGATATGACATACTTACCTGCTCTGTGTAGTGGTTTTGCACAGAGCAGCCTGGACCCTCCTCTTCTTGGTTCCCCCGCCTAGTGCTCCTGGCCCCTCCCTCCTGTTGGGTGCCCCAACAGCAAACAGCTTGCTATGGGGGCACCCAACCGTGTGTCCGTGGCTCGTGGCTCGGTACCGCCCCCTCCTAGTACAAGTTAGCACAAGAAATAAAACCAAAACCAGCGCTCAGGTCCATAAACTCCCCAGGGACACAGTCACAGTCACTCGCTGAGGTGCAGCCCTCTAAAGATCTAGAAATCTTGATAACACTTGAAAAAAGCAAAAAAGAACACACTCACCTCGTGCATTACCGTGATAAAAAAAGAATTTAGTGAAAGTGACAAAAGTATATACTCCCAAAAGCAAGGAACCAACGTGACAGTCCCAGTAAATGGTTGTCATGCGACAGGGTACGCTAACGCGTTTTGGGAGACTTTGAGCTCTGAGGAAGGGAGTCCGTCTCCCAAAAATTTTTTTTTTTTTATTACGGTAATGCACAAGGAGAGTGCGCCCTTTTTTTCCCACCACCCCCTCCTGATTGGCTCACTGGCTGTGATTGACAGCAGCGGAAGCCCATCAGGAGGGAGAGTTCCTAGAGAACCAAGAGCTCTCCTGGACATCGCTGGATCAACAGGGGGCTCAGGTAAGTGTTAGGGGGGCTGCTGCACACAGGTTTTTTTTTTTACCTTAGAATGCAGGAAGATAGAAAACCCTGAGACTTTAGAAACCATTTTAAAACACAAGTTTATTATTGGCGCACTTAGTTGGCGCCCCTTGTGTTCCTTTTCCAAATGTGTCAACAGAAATGACAGTTTGGGGGTCCTATACCGGCATTGTCAAGCTTTGTGATAATATGCTCCTCAACTGAACTGACAGGTGATTGGATACAGCACTCGGCCACTGCCCTCCCACATGGAAGAAAAATATATTTGAAATGCTACAGTTTTGGCCATATTCAATATATTTCAATAAATACACACACACTACATATACACATATATATATATAGAAAATATAACAAAATAACACACACACACACACAATGTTGAAATGCGTTTTTATTACAGAATATATGAAAAATATTTTTAAAAATACATTTCAAATTTTCTCTGTCTTTAAAAATACAAATCTACATTTGTGAAATGCATTTACAAATATATGTAAAAATATATGTTAAAATTACTTTTTTATAAGTTAAAAAAAAAATCCAAAGAATATATTAAAAAAAAAATATATATTTTTTTAAAAATGTATATTTTTTAAATATATTCTTCAGATTTTTTGTAATATATAAAAAAAAGTCATTTTAACATATATTTTTACATATATTTGTAAATGCATTCCAAAAATGTATGTAAAAATTTGTCAAAATGACTTTTTTAGAAGTAAAAAAAAAAAAAAATCTGAAGAATAGATTCAAAAAAATATATAATTGTAAAAATAAATATTTTTTTAAATCTATTCTTCAGATTTTTTTTTTAACAAATCATAAGGTAATTTTAAAATTTTTTTTACATAGATTTGTAAATGCAGTCCAAAAATGTAGATTTGTATTTTTAAAGACATACAGTATATTTGAAATATATTTTTAAAAATATTTTTCATGTGTTTTGTAATAAAAATGCATTTCAACATGCAAATATATATATATATATATATATAAAAAAAATATAAATATATATATATATATATATATATATATATATATATATATATATACACACACATACATATTTATTTAAATATATTGAATATGACCAAAATTGTAGCATTTAAAATATATTTTTCTTCCATGTGGGTTGTTCCTTTTCCTGACACATTGACACATCTCTGTCTGAATTATGAAGTAATAGGGTGCCAACAGCATGTTCTTCAGAGCCTGACCCTAGTCCGGATGGCTTTCATTAATCAGGCTGTCCAGGGTCACTCAACTGCCACACCCTGAGAGAGGAGCCGCTGTTCCATTGTGCGAGCCGAGATGGCAGATGAGCGAATATTTCTTGGAAAACTGTTTCCCACACTCAGAGCACGAATATGGCTTCTCCCCTGTGTGGACTCTCTCGTGTCTCACCAAAGTGGCCCTATCAGTAAAACACCTCCCACACTCAGAACAGGAAATAGGGCTTCTCCCCCGTGTGAATCCTTTCGTGCGTTACCAAAACCGATTTCTGCGTGAAGCACTTCCCGCACACGGAACATGCAAATGGTTTTTCCCCGGTGTGACTTGTCTTGTGTTTCACGAGGTGAGACTTTTGAGTGAAACACTTCCCGCACTCAGAGCAGGAGAAGGGGTGATCGCCCGTGTGAAGCCTCTGGTGCTCTACCAGATACGACTTTTGCGCAAAGCTTTTGCCGCACTCGGAACACGGATACGGACGGTCACCCGTGTGGGATCTCTGGTGTCTGACGAGATTTGTTCCAGAGGAGAAACACTTGCCGCATTCCGAACACGGATATGGTTTCTCCCCCGTGTGAATTTTTTCATGTTTGGTAAGAGTCACCTTCATGGAGAAACACTTCCCGCACACAGAACACGAAAACGGTTTTGCTCCCGTGTGAACGCTCTCGTGTCTGATGAGACCCGATTTCTGAGTAAAACATTTCCCGCATTCAGGACAGGAGTACGGCTTCTCCCCTGTGTGGATTCTTTGGTGTCTGATGAGAATTTTCTTGCAAGAAAAGCATTTTCCGCACTCAGGACACGAAAAAGGCCTCTCCCCCGTGTGAGACCTCTGATGTGCGGTGAGAGTTCCTCTCCGGGTGAAACATTTCCCACACTCCGAACACTGGAATGTTTCTCCCCCTCCATAAGTGGTGTGTTGGTTACCCACAGACGAATGGTCATGAAAACTCCCCCCTTGTATGGAGGGATTGGATGGTGGATCTGCACGGCTAGGTATCGGATGGACCTTCACGGTAATTGGGTTATCTTCTGAAGACTCAGACGTGATGTCATCCTCTCCTACTTCACAGTCTGCAGACGTGATTGGTCCTTTTCCCATGTTGTACCTTCTGTATCGTCCATCTAGAGGAAACATGTTAAAGGCAATGTGAATATTTAACTGCTTCCCGTCCGCCCTATAGCAGAAATACTGCTACAGGGCGGCATGGGTACGCAAAATCACGAATATATACGTGATTTTGCATTTCCAGGTAAAGGGTGCGCGCGCTCTACCTGTGCCGCCATTCGCGGCCTTGGCTGTCAATCATTTTGACACGGAGCAGAATACATTTTGGCCTAAATTTATGACGAAATTTTGACTGGAAATTTTACAGTGGGACACACAGGATCGCGGTGCCGCGCGCTCCTAGGCAGCGCGCACAGGCAGTGAATGTGGAAGCCGTTTATATAGACACCCACCCGCTCCTGCACTGCTCCCGTCTGGCCGTTTATGTACATGGGACGGAAGGAAGCAGTGCAGGAGTGGGTGGCTGTTTCTAAACGGCCTCCGCATTCACTGCCTGGGAGCCCGTGGCACCACGATCCGGTGCTCGCTGTACGGGACCTCTATGTGATCCAATCAGTGATCACATGAACAGTAGTAAACAAGATGTCACTTCCTGACATCATTGCTTACTACGTGTGAAATCTGTGAATGATCACAGAGATCACATGGTACAGGGCTATTCACAACAGCCTTGTACCATGTGACAAGCTGTGACCAATCACAGCTCTCACAGTATTTCTCAATGGCTGCAAGAATGTAGCCAGAGAGAAGGAGAAATTATTGCTTTTACAGGCTTTATGGCTGTAAATAGCAATCAGTGTAAAAAAAGAAAACAAAATCTTCATCACCCCCCACAAGTAGTACAGTGTCACTATGGTGACACTGCACTGCTAGGGTGACGGTATGTTAAAAATAAATAAATAAATAATAAAAAAAAAAAAAATTAAAAAAAGTAAACTTTTTTTTGAAAAATTATAATTTTTGGTTCTGAACTAATTTGGGTTCTTTTTTTTTTTACTAAAAAGATAGATGAATACATTTTGGCCAAGATTTATGAAGAAAAATTATTTATTTGCTAAATTTTACAAGAAAAACACTTTTTTTTTTTTAAATGTTTGGACCTTTTCATTTACAGTCAGGTCCATAAATATTGGGACATCGACACAATTCTAACATTTTTGGCTCTATACACCACCACAATGGATTTGAAATGAAAAAAACAAGATGTGCTTTAACTGCAGACTGTCAGCTTTAATTTTAGGGTATTTACATCCAAATCAGGTGAACGGTGTAGGAATTACAACAGTTTGCATATGTGCCTCCCACTTGTTAAGGGACCAAAAGTAATAGGACAGAATAATAATCATAAATCAAACTTTCACTTTTAATACTTGGTTGCAAATCCTTTGCAGTCAATTACAGCCTGAAGTCTGGAACGCATAGACATCACCAGACGCTGGGTTTCATCCCTGGTGATGCTCTGCCAGGCCTTTACTGCAACTGTCTTCAGTTCCTGCTTGTTCTTGGGGCATTTTCCCTTCAGTTTTGTCTTCAGCAAGTGAAATGCATGCTCAATCGCATTCAGGTCAGGTGATTGACTTGGCCATTGCATAACATTCCATTTCTTTCCCTTAAAAAACTCTTTGGTCGCTTTTGCAGTATGCTTTGGGTCATTGTCCATCTGCACTGTGAAGCGGCGTCCAATGAGTTCTGAAGCATTTGGCTGAATATGAGCAGATAATATTGCCCAAAACACTTCAGAATTCATCCTGCTGCTTTTGTCAGCAGTCACATCATCAATAAATACAAGAGAACCAGTTCCATTGGCAGCCATACATGCCCACGCCATGACACTACCACCACCATGCTTCACTGATGAGGTGGTATGCTTAGGATCATGAGCAGTTCCTTTCCTTCTCCATACTCTTCTCTTCCCATCACTCTGGTACAAGTTGATCTCGGTCTCATCTGTCCATAGGATGTTGTTCCAGAACTGTGAAGGCTTTTTTAGATGTCGTTTAGTTGGCAAACTCTAATCTGGCCTTCCTGTTTTTGAGGCTCACCAATGGTTTTCCATCTTGTGGTGAACCCTCTGTATTCACTCTGATTGAAGTCTTCTCTTGATTGTTGACTTTGACACACATACTGAACAATATGGTAGTGTGACCAGAGCACCCCTACCGAAGAAAAAGGAGGTTACTAAAGGATCCAAGCAGAGTAATATGGGTTCAAAAATTACAGACAATATTTTATTTGATCACATAGATCATAAGAAGGTTAAACATAAGCATGGTGAACATATCAAACAAATATGATATGTTTGATATGTTCACCGTGCTTATGTTTAACCTCCTTATGATCTATGTGATCAAATAAAATATTGTCTGTAATTTTTGAACCCATATTACTTTGCTTGGATCCTTTAGTAACCTCCTTTTCTTCGGTAGGGGTGCTCTGGTCACACTACCATATTGTTCAATATGTATTTCTTGGGTTTATGGATCCACACTTACAAGTTAAGTGAGTTGGAGATATGATTATGACACTAATATTCGTGTCATATAGGTGGCCCCTATTTTTTCATTTTATTTTTTTGACACACATACACCTACCTCCTGGAGAGTGTTCTTGATCTGGCCAACTGTTGTGAAGGGTGTTTTCTTCACCAGGGAAAGAATTCTTCGGTCATCCACCACAGTTGTTTTCCGTGGTCTTCCGGGTATTTTGGTGTTGCTGAGCTCACCGGTGCGTTCCTTCTTTTTAAGAATGTTCCAAACAGTTGTTTTGGCCACGCCTAATGTTTTTGCTATCTCTCTGATGGGTTTTGTTTTGTTTTTTCAGCCTAATGATGGCTTGCATCACTGATAGTGACAGCTCTTTGGATCTCATCTTGAGAGTTGACAGCAACAGATTTCCAAATGCAAATAGCACACTTGAAATGAACTCTGGACCTTTTATCTGCTCATTGTAATTGGGATAATGAAGGAATAACACACACCTGGCCATGGAACAGCTGAGAAGCCAATTTGTCCCATTACTTTTGGTCCCTTAACAAGTGGGAGGCACATAAATGCAAACTGTTGTAATTCCTACATAACCGTTCAAGCCTGCCGAATTTGGATGTAAATACCTTCAAATTAAAGCTGACAGTCCTGCAGTTAAAGCACATCTTGTTCGTTCTTCATTTAAAGACCATTGTGGTGGTGTATAGAGCCAAAAATGTTAAAATTGTGTCGATGTCCCAATATTTTATGGACCTGACTTTATATAGCACAAAAAAATAAAGATCCCAGTGGTGAATAAATACCACCAAAATAAAGTTTTATCTGTCTCAAAAAAATCATGCAAAAAATGCATATGGGTACAGTGTTGCATGACCGCACAATTGTCATTCAAAGTGTGATAGCACTGAAAGCTGAAAATTGGCCTCGACAGGAAGGGGTGAAAGTCTCTGGACTTGAAGTGGTTAGTATATATATATATATATTTCAATATATATTTGTAAATATATTAATTTGTGTGTGTGTATGTAAATATATATATATATACACATACATATATATATAATATATATATATATATATATAATATAAATATACATACATATGACACACACACACACATATCCCAAAAACAAAATAATAATATATTCACAAATACATTGGAATACACATATATATAATATAAAATATAATATAAATATATATATATAAAATATATACACACACACATATACATATAATAATATACACAACACACATATACATACACAATGGTCATGGCCGAAATTGTTGGCCACCCTTGATATTTTTCCTGAAAATCAAGTATTTCACACAAAAAAGGTATTGCATTTAACACATGTTTTGCTATACACATGTTTTAAATCCCTTTGTATGTATTGGAACAAATATAAAACAGAGGCAGAAAAGCAAATATGACATAATGTCACACAAAACCCCCAAAAATGGGCTGGACAAAAGTATTGGCACCCTTAACTTAATATTTGGTTGCACACCCTTTGGGAAAACATAACTGAGAATCAGTCGCTTCCTATAACCATCAATAAGCTTACTGACACCTCTCACCCGGAATTTTTGGACCACTCTTCCTTTGCAAACAGCTCCAGGTCTCTCTTATTGGAAGGAAAAACCTTTTCCCAACAGCAATTTTAAGATCTCTCCACAGGTGATTCAATGGGATTTAGATCTGGGGCTCATTGCTGCCCACCTTCAGAACTCTCCAGCGCTTCTTTGCCATCCATATTTTGAGTGCTTTTTGACGTATGTTTGGGTCATTGTCCTGCTGGAAGACCCAGGAATGGACTTGGACCCCAAGCCAGCCTTTCTGACACTGGGCCCTACAGCTGCGACCCCAAAAATCCTTTGGTAATCCTCAGATTTCATGATGCCTTGCACACAGTCAAGGCACCCAGTGCCAGAGGCAGCAAAACAACCCCAAAACAATCATTGAACCTCCACCATATTTTACCGTAGGTACTGTGTTTTTGTTCTTTGTAGCCTCATTTTCCGTTTTCGGTAAACAGTAGAATGATGTGCTTTACCGAAAAGCTCTATCTTGGTCTCATCTGTCCCACAAGAACGTTTTCCCAGAAAGGCTTTTGGCTTACCTCAAGTAATTTTTGGCAAACTGTAGTCTTGCTTTTTTATGTCTCTTGTGTCAGCAGTGGGGTCCTCCTGGGTCCTCCTGCCATAGCGTTTCATATCATTTAAAATGTCGACGGATAGTTCGCTCGCTGACACTGATGCTCCCTGAGCCTGCAGGGACAGCTTGATTTGTCTTTGGAACAGTTTGGGGCTGGCTTATCCACCATCCGGACTATTCTGCGTTGCAATCTTTCATCAATGTTTCCTCATACCCGTCCACGACCAGGGAGATTAGCTACAGTGCCATGGGTTGCAAACTTCTTGATAATGTTGCGCACTGTGGACAAAGGCAAATCTAGTTCTCTGGAGATGGACTTGTAACCTGAGATTGTGTTGATATTTTGCCACAATTTTGGTTCTCAGGTCCTCAGACAGTCTATTCTCGTCTCC